GCAGTTAATTGTAAGGGAGGAGATTGCCCTTCCATCTCCCACAGAGCAGCTGGTGGATATGAACTGTGTGCCTTCAGGATTGCAATACAGCTTCTTACCGCTAGGCCACTAGAGCCCTTTACAAGGAATTAACATAATTAGTACATTAACTTCCATTTATAAAGGTCAACCAAATGTTGATTATCATGATATAAAGGTATATTTTGTGCTAAATTAAAAATTTAAATGTGTCTATTTGTTTACTGAAGTACTCTGTGGAAAACAGTAAAATTGCAATGTCAGAATTTCTGGCTAAAACAACAAGTGAAAAATTGACAAATTATCAGTATGTGATATTAGGCTGCCCCACCACCACTGGAAATTTTTTTTTTTAATATTATTAAATTTAAGTTTTGTTCTCAGACAAAGAGGCCAGTATAAGGGTTGAAAAATGTCATTTGATTGTCAGAAGTAGAATCAATAAAAAACCAGTTGAAATATAATTGTGTGTAATTTACTTATTGAAATTACCACCTGGCCTTTGCTATATATCAAGGGCTGTGAGAAGATTATATACTGTTTGGATCAGTAATTCCATTGCTAAGACTCTATCTTAAGAAAATGACCTGGATTGCTGAGAGGTTGTTATGAAGGTATTCAACATCCATTTTAAATTTAAAAAGAAGTGAAAAGATCCTAAATATAAAGAATTAAGGATTAAGTACTTGTGGATTTTTTAAAAAAATAGTTCTTTTTTTATCTCAGTTATGCAAAAGTTGTGAGAAATTCTGGAAAGAAATATAATAAAAGGTTAATTGTAGGTATCTCTAGATATGAAAATACAGGCAGTTATTGTTTTTTTCCCCTTTGCCACATATTCCAAACATTCCACTGTATACATATGTGTTATTTGTAATAATTAATAGAAACAAATGCTTACTGACTAAAGTAAAGTAAAATATCTTTTTTGTCTTTAAATGGAAGCTAAGTATGGATTGACTAACTGACTAATTATTTTTATAGATGTTTATAAAATATCAAAAGGCCTATACGTCTGTTATTGAAATTATAACCAGTATATAAATTCTGACGACATAATTTTGAAGTTATCAGAGTGAAACAAATTTTCATACATACCCTTGCTGTTTTCCTTTTGTTTCTAGTGTCTACCCCTGCACCAGAATCAACTTTAAAATGGTCCCATCCTGAAACCTGGCAAGATGTTGAAAAGGGCTGGGGGGGACATGGCAATACCATTCCAGCCTCTGGAGATGATGTCTTGATTTTACCCAGTAAGTAAAACAGCTCATGAAAAGAATTGATTGTTGAATTAATAGCCAGAACTAGAATCAATCTGTTTGGAGATATCTTTTATTTAAATGTATTACAAATTACAGTAAAAAGTTTGTGTATTCTGTAAGTATATCTATGTGTAAAGCAGAATCAACAGTGCAGGGGAGTTACAGAAACTTCTTAAACATGACCAGACACAGTTAGGAAATAAATTGCTGATCCTAGAGTACTGAACATCCCACGGACAGCCAAGAGAACAAACAATGTCTTGGAGAGCATGCAGCCGGAGTGCTCTTTGGAGGCTAGAATTATGAGGCTTTTGCCTCACACAGTTTGGGCATGTTGCTAGAAGGAGCTATTCCTTGGAGAAGGAAATGATGCTGGGAAGGGTGGAGGGTTGACAAAGGAGAGGAAGACCCTCAGCTATGTTGATTGACACAGTGACTGTTGCAGTGGGCTCTTGTGTGTCAGGAAGTGTGAGGATGGATGATGCAGGATAGAACAAGGTTCAGATCTTTTGTTCATAGGGTCACTCTGAGCCATGCTCAACTCGATGGCACTAATAACAACCATACGGCCTCAGGACACATCAAGGTCAATTGGCATAACATAGTTAATAAAAACAATATTATATATCCTACTTTTGTGAGTTTGGAAGCAGGAGTGGCATCTACTTCCTAAATAACATGCCTCCAGAAACTCTATGAACTTTGATAAATGTTAATAGTTGTAGACAGGCTTCAGGCCTTTTGTTCATAAGGTCACTATGAGTCATGCTTGACTTGAAGGCATTCAACAACAACAACAACAACAACAACAACAACAACTTTTGTGAGTACTGACTAACATCTGAAAACTGGCTAGCAATCAACTACAATTCTCAGCAACTCTAAGAACAAGAGATCAGTAAACTTGCTCTATTCTGTGCTATGTTCACAATCTCTGATATGCTTGAGCCCATTATTCTAGTCACTGTGTCAATCTGTCTTTTTGAAGGGCCTCCTCTCTTTCTCTGACCCTCCACCTTTCCCAGCATGATGTCTCTTTCCAAAGATTGGTCCCTCCTAACAACGTGCTCAAAGCGATGTGAGACCAAGTTTCACCATCCTTGCTTCTAAGGAAGGCCCTCAGTGCTCTTCTTCAGAACCGCAATTCAAAGACATCGATTCTTCATATGTCATCCTTATTCATTATTTAACTTACAGTTGCATAGAAAGCAATTAAACATATCAAGACGTGGATTAGATGCCCTTGAGTCTTTTGACTGACATGGTTGTTCTTAGCACTTTATAGAAGTTCATGAAAGCAGGTTTCTCCAGTGCCAGGTGTCTTTTGATTTAATGACTGCTCTTCCCATGGGTGTTGATTGTGGATCCAAGTAAAACCAATTTATTGGCAACATCAATCTTTTCTCTCTCATGATGTTGCCTAGTGACCCAATTTTGGAGATTTTTGTTTTCTTGATGTTGAAATGTAATCTCCATTGAAGACTGTAGTCTTTTATCTTCTACAAATGCTTCCTCTTCATAATCTGCAAGTAAAGTTGTGTCATTTGCATAATTCAGTTTGTTGAGCAGCCAGCATTTAAGGTACAATTATTTGTCTCTCTATGCCCAGAAAAGAACAAAAGAAGAGGAAAGAAAATTAATGATGGCAAATAATAGACAGGTTTGTAATATAAATAATAACACCAGAAAGGCATCAACTTCATTTTTTTAAAAATAAAATTTTATCTTTATTATGATTTCAACTAATGTAACAGAGAAGTTAGATTTTTATTCATTCATTATTGGGCATTTTACCCACTCACCCTCCATCCCTTCTCCCCCAGTTCACTTTTTTTCTTTTTAATGTTCATTCAGTGTTGCAAAATTATCTAGCTCCCGCCCTTTCCTCAGTATACTTTGAAATGATATACCTCTTATGCTGTTGATTTATGTATAATGCCCAATTCTATATTCCTTTTAAACAATTCTTCCATCATCTGTTTCAGTATATTGGTAATTATCTATCCACTCTTTTTTTTTTTTAATTCCATTTTCCCAACTCTCCATGTTAGACCTGCTTTATAACAGTGGTGCTATACTTTTGTGACTGAGATATTTCACTCTGCATGATGTGCTTCAGGGTCCCTCAAGTTGTATAATGTTTCACATGTTCATTGTTTTTCAGTGCTGCATGGTATTTCATTGTATGAATATTGTTGTTGTTGTTGTTGTTATGTGCTGTTGAGTCACTTGCTATTCATCCAACCCTGTGTACAACAGCTCTGAACTTTGTTCTATCCTGTGCCAAACTTATTGTCTCTGACATACTACCCCATTACCCCAGTCACTGAATCAATCCATTTTATTAAGGGTCTTCCTCTCTTACACTGTCCCTCCACTCTCCCAAGCAAGACGTCCCTCTCCAAGGACTGGTCACTCCTTGCAACATGCCCAAAGTACACTACAAGAAGTTTCAGAATCCTTGTCTCCAAGGAGCAGCCTGGTTTCATCCTTCTTAGGATTTACCTATTTGTTTTTCTGTCCATTTGTTGATGGGCAGTTGGGTTGCTTCTACTTTTTGCTACTGTAAATAATGCAGCAATAAACACAGGTGTGCGTATATCTGTTTGGATGATGGTTATGGTTTCTTTAGGGTATATTCCCCATAGTAGCATTGCTGGGTCTAATGGTATTTCTATTTACAACTTTCTGAAAAATTGCCAATCCTCCTTCCAAAGTGGTTGCTGCATTTTGCACTCCTACCAACAGTGAATAAGGGCTCCAATTAATCTCTTCACAATCTTACTGGCATTTATTGTTTGCTGCTCTGTTGAACTTTGGTATTGTTCTGGGGTGAGATGATACCTCATAGTTGTTTTTATTTGCATGTCTCTGATAGCTAGGGATTTTGAACTTCTCTTCATGGTTGCTATCTAAATGTCTGTATAAATGCTGTCTTTGGTAAAGTATCTATTCGTATCCTGTGCCCATTTTGCAATTGTATTGTTTATCTTGTTGAGGTGCTGGAGTGTTCTAGAAATTTTAGATATGAGTCCCTTATTAGATATGTCATTACCAAATATTTTTTCCCCAGTCTGGGGGTTTTCTTTTTACCCTGTTGGAGAAGTTTTTTTGATATGCATTGGGATTTTATTCTTACAAGGTCCCATTCATCTATTTTGTTCTCTCCTAGTTGTAGGTTTTTCATTATGCTTGAAAGACATCGTACTCTGGATTAGGGCTTCTATAATTCTTCCAAACTTTTCTCTAATGAAATATATAGTCTTTGGTTTTACTTCTAGGTCCTTGATCCACCTTGAGTTAGTTTTTATATATGGTGTGAAATGTGGGTCTTGCTTGAATTTTTACAGATGGTTTTCCAATTTTGCCAACACCATTTGTTAAAAAGGCTGTCATTTCCCTACTTAACTGATTTCATCTCCTTACCAAAAATCAGCTGACCATAGGTAGATGAGCTGATTTGTGGGTTCTCAATTCTATTCCATTTATCCATGTGTCTGTCACTGTAACAGTACCACTCTATCTTAATCACCACACCTTTGTAGTATGATTTTAAAGATAGTGTGATGCTTTACATTGTTTCTCCTTTTCAGGCTTGCATTGCTTATTTAGGGTTTCTTTTCATTCCAAATGAAACTGGAACTAGCTCACTACAAATGACAGTGGTTTCTGTATTGGGATTACATTGAACTTGTAGATTTCCTTTGGTAGAATTATCATTTTCATGATATTGAGTCTTCTTATGCATAAGCACAATATATTCTTCCATTTCTCCAGGTCTCTTTGTGTTTCTCATAATTGTTGTTGTTGTTGATGCTTTTGAGTCAAGCACGAGTCATAGCAACCTTATGAACAAAAGGCCTTAAGCCCCTCTACAACTATCACCATTTATCAAAGTTCATAGAATTTCCAGAGGCATGTTATTTAGGAAGTGGATACCACTCCTGCTTCCAAACCTGTCATAGAATGTTATTGTTGTTATGTGCCATTGAGTCATCTGCAATGTATAATGACCCTATGTACAGCAGCTCTGAACCCTTCCCTGTCCTGAGCCAGTCTGACTAATTCTTATATACCAACCCCCAAGGCCCCAGTTACTGTATCAATCCATCTCATCCAGGATCTCCCTCTCCTGCGCTGTCTGTCCACCATTCTGAGCATGAAGTCCTTATCCAAGGACCAATCTCTCCTGGCCATGTGCCCAAAATAAGTGAGGTAGAGCTTCAGAGAAACAAATTTGTTTTCTTGGCAGTCCAAGGTATGTTCAAGACTCTTCTCCAGTACCACAACTCGAAGGTATCTATTCTTCTGTCACCCATTCTTCTGTCATTGTCCAACTCTCTGAAGCATAACAGTAATTGAGAAGACCTTGGCCTGAATTAGGCACCCTTTTGTATCTAGACTAACATCATTGTTCTTCAGCACTCCAGAGAGGTCCATGACAGCATATTTTCTCAATGCAATTTGTCTTTTGATTTCCTGACTGCTGGTGTCAAGAGTGTTGGTTGTGGCTGGACATGCTGTAATTGCTAACAGCCTCAATCTCTTCTCCATCTATTATGGGACTGCTAGTTGGCCTAGTGGTGAGACTCTTTGTCTTCTTGATGTTGAGCTTCAATCTATATTGAAGACTACAGTCCTTGACCTTCTGCAGCAAGTGCTTCAAGTAGTCCTCAGTTTCAGCAAGCAAGGTTGTATCATCTGCATATTGAAGGTTATTATAATAAGTCTTCCTATACTCTTGATGCCACTTCCTCCTCATAAAGCCCTGCTTCCTGTATGATCTATTCTGCACACAGATAGAAAAGGTATGGGGACTGGATGCATCCCTGACACACTGCTTTCCTGATTTTGAACCATTCAGTGTTTTCTTGCTCTGTTCTGAGGACTGCTTCTTGGTCCAAATATAGGTTTCATATAAGCACATTTGAGTGTTCTAAAATTTCCATTTTCCTCATGTTTTGTAATTTTCTTTGTTTAGGTCTTTTGTG